CCAAACCCCCTTCCCCAGCGGCCGCCACGCGTTCGCGAAGACGCGCGTCCGCGCGGACGCGTCCGAGGGGTCGCGGACTCGACCCGGCCGCGGACTTGGCCACGCCTATCCGCCGCCGAGGGGGATTCATAGCGCATCGCTGCCAAAATCTCAGTGCCGCCGCCGCAAAAAATCGGTAGGGCTTCCGTGTCACCGCCAAAAAGCGCCGCCGTTGCCGTGTCCAGCGAACAACATCACCCCAAAGTCATTCTAAAATGGCTGCCGACGCTGCGCAAAAAGGGCAGAGTCTCCCCTGCACCATTTGCCGATGACCTACCGCCGCCGTGCAAAACGGGCAGAGTCTCCCCTGCACCGCTTGCCGAGGACCTGCTGCCGCCGTGCAAAATGGGCAGAGTCTCTCCTGCACCGCGCAGCCCGGTGGCTATGGCATCCTCTCCTCTCCTCTCTCACTGCAAACCTCCACTCCACTCCTCCTCTTTCTCTTGCAGACCTCCACTCAGCTCCTTCTCACTCCACCAGCAGCTCCTCCTCCAGCAGCACAATGCTGCTCTCCACTCCACACTCAATCAAAATGTGGGCAGCACCTCAACTGAGTGAGGATGCTGCTGGCCAGCCCTGCTTTTATAGCTAGTCTGGAGTGGTGAGCAGCCACTTGGTGCTCAGCCAAAAAACGGGGCTGAGCCTGGCCCTCGATCTGAACTTCGATCGAGGGCTGGGAATCTTGATGTTCCCCTAGGAACATCATGTCCCAAGCTTTAGCAATGCACCCGGCCGCCTCCCCCGGCCAGGTGCAGCCTTGAAGTGGATGTATGAAGCCATTCTCAGCAGATTGTTAAAACCAACAGTTTGCTGTCAATTCAAAGTCCAGATGCAGGGCAGGACTGAGGTCGCAAACGAGTTCGTGACTGTTTTTTTCTTTTTTTTCCAACTCTTCTCCTCCCCCTTCTCGTTTTTCTATGCAAGGGGAGTTCGCCGCTCGAAACGAACGGGTGCCCCTTGGTCACTTCGCAAAGTCGTACTAGAGCCAAGCTCAACAGGGTTTTCCTACTCCTGCTGCAGTATGCGCCCGAACCCGGGCGCCATCGGTGCCAGGTTCAGGACTACAGGATCCTGCGGCCCGTTTTTCCTCAGCGAACGGGCGCATGCAGGCGTAGGTTGGAGACTTACCTGTCCCCTCGTTCTCTCTCTCTCTCTCTCTCTCTCGTGGTAGTAGTAGTAGGGATATGCACATTCCCACGTTCTAGAGGTAGATTTGTTCGATTTTGCTCACCCAGACTGTCGAGGTTCAGCCTCCTGATGAGTCGGTGAGAGTCCGACGAAACCGCCTGGCATGCTCACGCTCTGCAGTCCGTTCGAACGGGCGCAACTACTGCAGTGGCAAGCCACTGTACATGGGAAGTGTATTTTCCCATGTTCTAACTATAGATTCATTCAACTAAGCCCGTTTGCTAAAACGGACGGGCACCCATACTACTCAAAAAAAAAAAAAAAAAAAAAAAAAAATCAAAGAATCTAAGAAAAATCTAAAAGAAGAGATCTTAGACAAATCTAGAAAATAATATTTTAAGGAAAATATAAAAAACGAAAGGAAAAACTTACCTCGTTTCAAAACGGTCGCCCGTTTTCACGGGTGCTATCATGCTTGCTGGGGACTGAAGTGCCCCAGGCACTTCAGAGAGCATCAGGTGGCGCTTCACTTTAGTTCTTAGTTTAATTTTTAGTTCTTTTTTTTTTTTTTTTTTTTTTACCTTTGTCTATAGCCAACGAGCACGTCACGCCTCGTGTCTTTTCAGCCACGAGCAACCAACGCCCAAGGGCATGGTTCCACTAGCAAAGAGGATCGGATCGAACGCCTGAATCTGGACAAAGTTACGGAGATGTGCAGGAAATCGAGATCGAACTGCTTTTCTGCATCTCTGCATATAACACATCCAGATTCAGGAGCTAGATCCTACCCTTTTTCCTCGATTCATGCGTGTCATCCTTGCGCAGGGGCCAGGCTGATCTACGCGCGACAGATCTCGGCCGTGCAATTTTGATGATCGTTCGGTCGCGCCCAACCGCCTTGGGCTGCTCCAAAAGGAGCTAGCCCAGAGGTGCGGTTCCTCCGATTCGATCCCGGTATATCCCATACGAGCACGTCACGCCTCGTGTGGCCTAGCTCCTATCACGACAGTGATAGGAGCAGCTCCTCTATAAGAGGAGCTCACCCAGTTGCTAGGCTGCCGCCCTGTAGCCTAACATACACTGAGGCCTGGGCCTGCTGGCAACCAAACCCCCACCCGCTTTCTCACTTGGTGGGGCACCGGGCCCCCTGGCTAGGTGCCCTGCCTTGGCCAGCGTACCGCCGACCCACGCCCGGCTTCACCGAAACGCATCGGTCGGACGTGGCTTTACGGGGGGGGTCGCGCTTTCACTCGCGGAGGTCTTAATTCGGCCCTTATAGGCTCTGAATCGCGCGGCTTAACAGCCGCGTGTCCTTATTTTAGGTAGAAAATTATTACATTTTACGACCATACGTCCGTGCGGCGTTACCAAATATGGGGAAAAAAACGGTCACACTGCTGGTTCTCACCGCCGATCCCATATGCCGCAGACGTCAGGTCTTTAGGTTCAATAAGTCTTAGTCTCTCAGTCATAGGTCAAGTTCGAATAAACTTATGGCAGATAACCCATCTCATCAAGTTATGAAGCCCGACTAACCATTTACTAAGTTGGACATCGTTCGACATTTAAACTACCGGGCAGATACCCTTGTCAGGGTTTCTGCCCCGACAGCGGTGCATGGGGAGTGCATTCTGAACAACTTGTTTGAAAGAGGCCGCGTCCCAGCCTGTAGTTGGACTGGCCATGAAAGCAGCACCAGTACAGATCGCAAGACAGAAAGCTGGGTGTACGGCAATCGCTGAAGGGGAGGGTTAGTAGCACAGTAAATTGGGGTCTAGGAGGACTGTGGAACTCTTTTTTTTTTTTTGACGTTGCTATGGGTAGGGCGTTGTTGTGAAATGGGGTGAAGAAGTAAGATTGCAGGTAGAATGTCGTGTCTTGTGAGGGGGATGGTCAGTGTGAGCACTGAACGTTCAGGTTGGTAGCAAAGTAGAAGTGGCAGTGTGGGAAGGGGTGATTATCTGGCGAGGGCTAGGCAAGGGCTAAGATTGAGAAGATGAATAGCTGCCCAAAGATTAGGGGGGAGGGGGGGGAGCAAATAGTCAGCAGAACAGACCGCAAGACAGAAAGCTGGGTGTACGAGAATCGATGAAGGGGAGGGATAGACGCATAGTAAATCGGGGTCGAGGCAGACTGTGGAACTTTTTTTTTTTCTTTTTTTTTACATGGCTATGCGGAGGGACATGTTGTCAGATGAGGTGAAGATGTAAGATAGCAGATAGAATGTCGTGTGAGGGGGAACGTAGGCTGTGCGTAGATAGTTAGTGTTGTGGATGGTCAGTATGAGCACTGAACGTTTGGGTATATCTTACTTGAAAATCGAAGCAGGCTTGTCTTCTCTTGGATGCTATTGCAGTCACATTCACTCTTACTAGCGGTAGTGGTATTCGCTGTCGTCATGCACACCTTCGTCGAAAGTCGCCCTCGTATTGCACTACTACCTCGTCGAAAGTCGCCCTTGGTAAATATGTTACGTACGTCCTTGGTGGGTCCCTCGTGTCAGTGACATGGCAGGGCTCCGTGTGGCCGGAACACGCCTTTTCCGTGATTGGAAAGGCGTGTTGCAGTCTTCTTCCTATTTCATCGTTTCTCCCTGTTCCTCTTCGGTAAGATACCACGAGTATTCATGGGCAGAAACCGCCTTTCCTTTTTTGGACCTGTCCCCTTAATCAATCTCACTTCTCTCCTCGCCTTCCTCGTAGAGGAATATAGTCCCTGTGGGCCCTATCCCACCGTTTATCCGTTACCAACGAACGGCTGGATAGTGTTCACCCTCCTATTCCTCTTCGATGTCCACAGAAAATGTCATTGTATCTTTTGTCTTGTACTCCTTGTAGTCCTTTGTCCTGTAGCTCCCTCCTTCGCTCTCCTTTGCTTCCGTAGCAGCTCCTGTAGCAGCTCGCGAATCTTAGTTTCCCGTATGCAACTCAGAGTCTGTATTGAGGCGGCAAGATTCTGTCCGAATCTCCCTCTTCTTGTCACCTCCTTTGCCCCATTTCGTTTCAACTCGATGAGGATCCAAGATCCTGTAAGCCCTATCCCACCATCCGTTCTGGTGAGCGGAGGGTGCACTAGGTGTCGGATTTTTTCCCCTAGATGCAGCTACACGTAAAAGATGCATTGCACACCTAGGCGCTGGGCTACGCCCAGTCTCCCATGTGGCACGGCTCGGCGTTTGCGCGCAGAGGGTGGCTCACTCAGGGGGCATTACTCGCCGCGATGGCGCGGTGGCATGGCGCGAAACATAGCGCTGCAAGAACATTGCGCTAACCCGCGGCATGTTCGGTCCACCTTGGAGGTATGTTTCTACAAAGGTTAAGTTGAAAAGTTGAGATGTCTGCCTTGGAAGTATGTTTCTACAAAGTTCACAGGAGGGCCAAGGGGTTTTGGTTCAGCGGGCATGGGCGAGATGGGCAGTCAATAAATGCTGTACAAGGTTTCTCTGGCTGTAATGAGGGAAAGTGTACGGGTGTGTGATGTTGTGGGACTTTCGAGTGGAATAGGAACTGGGATGATGCTCCCCAGAATCAAGGAGCCTCAGTCATAAGTCTGGAATTTTCTTAAAAAGAAAACAGAAAAATCCACTCTAGAGTACAGAGTCCAGACCTGAAAGATTGCCTTGGATGGGAGATGTTTCGTTCTCTTGCTTCTTATCTCAACTGCCAATTTGATGCCATGCTTCTGTTTGATCTTTATCAGAACTTGTTACCATGACCAGCTTTATGTGGGCGTCAAAGCGTTATCAAGAATGGATGTTTCTGGAGCGGACAGTCTGGAATAAAACTTACGTTACTCGCATGGTTATGATGCCGATCTATGGCAATCCGGTTCAGTCGGTTTATAGTCCACTTATTGGCGGTTCCATTTATAAAAATCTAGTTGGGTACGTAGAGGTGCACACGAACGTCTCGGAATTGTTCCAGCGGCTGTACGTTGACAACCCTGACATTGTAGATGGTGTTGATATCACGGTATTCATGGTCGTGGAATCTCGGGTGATTGCGGTCTTCGACTCGGAAAACCGTGCATTCTCCGAACAAGGCAATCATTCTGCGGGGCAGAATCCTGTTGCGTTCCCACTGAGCATAGAAGGTGGGGCAGACCTCGTCTGCCGGCTTAAGAACAGTGGATCAAATTGGCGGAGTGCACTCGCGTGGTCTGCACTGCCAATAGGGAGCTCAGCCACCCTCTTCCTCGCGGCTTATGTACTGTTATATCAGATCCAGAAAGTACAGAAGGACCTCCAGCGGATGAGCAGGCTGAAGGATTCTGCAGACCAGGCAAAGCTAATTGCAGAGGGCGCCAGCAGAATGAAGGGAAACTTTCTAGCAACAATGTCTCATGAAATTCGCACCCCAATGACCGGAGTCATAGGTATGATATCACATAATTCATCTGCCTCGGCTTGCCACCCACCCAAGTGACTCTGCTGAGCTCTGCTTGACAGAGATTTCCTCCTTACTTTTACTTTTAATTAACACTCCAGCTGCTGTTGCCCAACCCTCCCCGCCTCTTTTTTTTTTTTTTTTTTTTGGGAAATGTCTTTTTGATTATGTGCTGAAAACCGGGTTCAGCGTCCTTTACATAACTTACTCACTTGAACTGCCAGCGCCTTTCCCAGCTATCGGCCGCGGGCCCTGTGCGCCGGGCTTTCAGGGCACATCTGGCCACCACCGGAGGCCAAGTGCGGCCTCCGTATTAACCGGCGCGCATTTGATTTTCAAGCAGGCAAAGGTACTGGTGGTTTAATGGCTCCTTCCTTTATAGCTGAGGGGCCCTGAGACAGTGGCATTGATTGCTTTAGACAGGACGGATTCACCTCTACGCTGGCCCTGTTCTTCACTAACCGCTCTGATTGCTCAATATTATGTGACAACCTGGAATGTAAAAGGGTGGGAGCATACAGCCTATGGTATGAATAATCACACCAGCACACATGATAAAAATTAAAAAGAGAAAACTATGGTGCAGTCAGGGTTTGAGTTTGAAAATGCACTTGAGGCAAAAGGACCGGTAATGGTGAATGTATGTAACCTAGGTTTCGGGTCCAGTGGGGTCATGCAGGGGTGTGTTGTTAAAAACGGTGATGTGCACTTGAGGGACCAGGCTGCACTGAGCAGTTTGCAACAAATGACAACCATGCCGCATAGAGCCAGAACACACTGACTACCCAAACCCTCTCCTTTAGCTGCTCCACTTCACTCCACCGAAAAGCATGAACCAAAAAATGAATGAACTGTAGTCCTGGCTCGTCACTTTCTTTTATGCCAATTTTGCCTGGGCCTACAGGGTCCTACGGGGCTGTGGCCTAGAGAATTCTAGAACTCTATCCAGGATCAGCTTACAGTATGCTTAATTGGAGGTCCCAGGCTCGAATCTGACTGGCAGTAAGAGCTGAAAACAAAAATAAAATTAAAACGAATTGGTTTTACTTCACACTTGGATCAGGTCTCGGGTTCGAATCCCCCTGAGCCCGACACTCCCTCCACCTCAGCTCGAAGTCCCTTGAGAACCTACTAACAAAGTCTGCAAACTAAGATGTGTTACGATCCTGGTCATTCCCAAAGTGCAAATTCACAATGAAAGACAATGCCACCCAATTGCGAAAGAAATGAAAGCACTTGCACAGAGATAGAGACCAGAAGGGAGAGAAAGAAGAAGAAGAAGAAGAAGAAGAAGAAGAAGATGTACACCAGCAAGACCAATGACAATTCCCCCTTCTCTCTCCACCTTCCTCCTCCTCCTTCACTTCGCCAATCTTATTCTTCTCCCAATAATAATAATAACAATGAGTGGATGAACCARAAYCRATATCCRAAGTTCCCTCTTACTGCTGACTCAACAACAACAACAACAACGACAAGTCCACCATAGCTATGGCTTCCCTCCTTCTTCCTCCCCTCACATGCCTAGGCTATGGCGGACTACTGAGGGCCCTGCCCTCCTGTCCATAGGACAACCCAAAGCAGCTCTGGCGCTGCACTACTGTCCAAAGAACAACCCAAAGCAGCTATGCCGCTGCTGACTGATCCGCCATGCCAGACTCTGCCTCGAGCTTCCTTGGTGCGGCACTACCCCAACTGGGGCCTTCCAGATGCAGAGCCCAACAAGGTGATGAAGATGGTGTCCACCATAGCCAGGTAGGTGCCTCGCCACTCTCCTCCTTCGCCCCCTTCTTCCTCCTCCTCAGGCTGGGCTGCTTGCCATAGCCAGGCTGAACGCCCAGGCTGCCCTTCACCTCCAGGTAGAGCTGTACCAGCCCAGCGCTCCGCTCGGCAGCATGTCGCCAATCCTTGCATACCGCAAAAATGAGGAGGAGCTACTTGCTCCTCCCGAAGATATAGCGGCCTACTGGCCTCTTGGGCGGTGACTTCCTAGGCCGAGCGGCCTCCCAGCAACCGGTACCTCCTCCCTTTCGGAGGGAAACATCATTGCAGGCTCTGCTATCTTCCGGACAGGCCCTAGACCCGGGCTACTTGGACTGGTACCGGCCTACCTGTAGCCTACCGCTACTAGGCCTCTAAAAATGCCAACTTTTTGTCTTCTTCTGCTCGGCCTCCAGTACCCGACACTTTTACCACTACTTGAGTGGTACCGGCCTACCTGCTACTCGAGTGTTTTTCCCCGCTGCTCTAAGTGTCGCGGGCCTACCCCCGCTACTTGAGTGTTTTCCCCGCTGCAACCCTCAAAGTCACGGCCACAGGTAAGTACCGGCCCTGCGGGGCCTTTCAACCAACAAGCACCCTTGCAGGTCACACACACACTCAGCCGACAAGCACTCAGACAGGCATGCAAACCAGCAGGCACACACACACACACAGACATGGAAATCACAGCAGAATGCGGAAATCTCAGCAAGGCATTTATTCCAATCAGCAGTGTTCTCAGTTTGTGTTCTTGGGGGGTCATTACAGATGAGACTCCAGGAATAATACAAACATCTACCGTCTTCCCCCGAACACAACGCACCCTCATTTTGGCTGTATCTGGCCGGAAATATAGCTTGTATACATTCATTTTTAGGGTGCGTTATGTTCGGGGGAAGACGGTAGTATACAAAATAGACCGCTGTAGTCAGTCTCTTCTTCTCTGTTGCTGTTGGAGGCTTCTTTCATAATTTTCTATGATTCAAGGTGTTGTCTCCATCGGAGTACTTCTGTCTACCTACTCGTCTTCTTCCTCTTCCGGATAATGAGAGAAACTGTGAACACAGAGAAAAATATAAGAAGAAGACGACATGAGTTCTACATATCATGGCGCTGACACCTTCCTCCCCACACCTCCTTGACATAGCACACTGTCCAGGATCTCAACCCTTCTACTCAAATGCCACTCAAATTGATGAGTTTACTTTCTATCGACGGTAATAAATACTACCACAACAACCTACTCGACGACCGCCTTAGCACTTCGATGCCGCCTTGAACGGTGGTACCCTTCCGCGTGTGGCGGCACCAACAAGCTGACATCCAAATATTCCCACGATCCCGTCTAGGTGCATTATGCACGTATCTGGCGGCAAGTAGGGCCAACACCACCGCGTTATGCAGGTTTTGGATCAGCAAGTGACTCAGATTCCCAGGCTGTTTCACCACCGGCTGGGACTGCATCACCCGCTGATACAGAAGTTGCTGCGTCCCTGACTGAGGCTGTACTAGCGGTTTTACAAAAGAAACCCCCCTCCAGTACAACCTCAACCAGCAGCAAGGGGAAGGATAAGGGACGCCGTCCTTTTACCCCTGTCCAGAGACCTAATCTGCCAAGAGATGTCCGTATGCCAGCTGACCCCGTGAACCCTTCCACCCTTCCCTGGCATGATCTCAGGATCCAGGAAGGGGTGTGGAGAAGGAGGAAGGATAGGGGGGTCTGCCTGCGATGTGAGGGACAACACAATCTGAAGGACTGCCCTTACATGCGAGGCCTTGGGTCACAACCAAAAAACTGAAGCAGACCCTAGGGGCAACAGCTCCCCCTAGTGCTGCAAACTCATCTTCTGAAGAAGATGAATCTGCAGCTGCTTCAGTAGATAGGCCTTGTGTTGGAGCTGTGCGGGCAGCATCCTTTTGTTATCAGGATCCTGACCCGGATCGGGAACTGGAGGAGCATGAGGATCAGATGCTTGCTTCCCTCTTCCTTCATTTGAAGGAGCAACGGAAAACGAAATTTGAACTCATCCTACTTCAGCCCCTGATCAACCACACCAGAATCAAGGGTTTGTTGGATTGTGGAGCCACCTAGAACTTTATGTCACCTAATGCAGTTAAAAAGCTGCATCTGGGTCTAACGGCAGAGACACTGCAGCAACCGTTGCAGGTCCGGATAGGGGACTCCACTATCCTCACTATCAGGGAGAAGGTCAGGGGCATCCCTGTGGCCTTCGATACAGTTGGAGAACTCAGGCATGCTATGAACTTTATATTTTCCTTGATCTTCCCTTTGATTTGGTGTTTTCTATGCAGTGGCTACGGGCAGTCGACCCTAGGATCGACTGGCAGATTCCTAAGGTTGAACTTCCCAATATGCAGGGGGTGTATCAACTATGCATGATTGCTGTTGCACACCACCCCAAGACCTCCTGCTACTGTTTACGAGCGAGGGAGTTTTATACTCTCTCCCGCTAGTATGACCATGAGCGTCTATTCTTGGCCCTTGTCAAGCAAACAGACGCTACAGTTGTTCCCTGTCCTCCTGAAGTCCAGCAGGTGGTGGACCAGTATGCTGATCTGATGCAGGAGCCTGTTGGGTTACCCCACCGGCCAACCAAGCATCACATTGAGTTGTTGCCTGGAGCGGTCCCTCCAAAGGGCCGCATCTACAGGATGTCCCCTGCTGAGCTTGAGGAGCTCAGAAACCAGCTTGAGACCCTGACCAGCAAAGGCTGGATTAGACCTAGCACGTCTGAGTTTGGTGCCCCTGTCCTCTTTGTTCCCAAAGGGAATGGGGAAGTCAGGATGTGCATAGACTACAAGGGTCTCAACAAAATCACGAGGAAGAGTACAGAGCCTCTCCCTCGTATTGATGACCTTCTGGATATGGTGCAAGGCTGCACACTATTCAACAAAGTTGACCTCAAATCTTGCTATCACCAGGTTGAGATGACAGAGGAGGTCAGACCCTGACCAGCAAAGGCTGGATCAGACCTAGCACATCTGAGTTTGGTGCCCCTGTCCTCTTTGTTCCCAAAGGGAATGGGGAATTCAGGATGTGCATAAACTACAGGGGTCTCAAGCCTCTCCCTCGTATTGATGACCTTTTGGATATGGTGTAGGGCTGCACACTATTCAGCAAAGTCGACCTCAAATCTGGCTATCACCAGATTGAGATGGCAGAGAAGGATGTCACAAGACAGCCTTCAAAACCAGGTATGACACTTA